CATGTAAACTGACTGCTTCTGCTTCATCCGGTGTGAACGTAGCATTATAGAGTGGACCAAAAACAAACCCTTGTTTTGGCTTAAAAAACATCCAAATTGAATCAGACGAACGGGTCCCCCCCTTAGGCATGGGGGTAATTTGGGTTCTTTGTTAGCATCTAATACCCGATGCCTGTTTATGTTTCTGAAAGGGGGTCGTCAGAGGGAATTGCTGGCCTGGCTGATAGGCGAGGTGTTTTGGTCCCCTCTATGGGGGGTGGGGGTTGCGATGATAGCGAAAAACTCAATTGCTGAATTTCTGATATTATTAAAGCTAATAATTAAAGAGGTGAAATTCTGTCCCCGTCCTGCTGAGCTAAAGAAAACGGCTTCTTGTTTGGACATGTGACCTATAAAGCAGAGCATGTGATCACTCTGCTAGCGGCTCTTGGCCTCTTTTCATGTGGCGGGTTCGTCACCTGTTCCGGCCGACGGCTCCACGGTGCTGCTGATGTCCGATTCGGTTACGTCGAACGTCACCTTCCTGTCTCCATTAAGGCGGGATGAATCCTCAGCCATGACCTGAAAGAACAAAATGAGTTTCTGCTGTTTGAAAATTGCTCAAATCTTTCATATTTAACCTTAAAAGACAGGTGGATCAGAGGATTGAGTGGAAGGCGTCTCCTGACCTCCTGGGCCATGGAGCTCTCCAGCTGCTGAAGCTGCTCCTCTTTCCTGCGCAGCAGGGAGGTTCCTCTCTGAACCGTCCGCTGCAGCTCCGCCACATCTCTGGCCTCCTGACAGAATCAAAGACAGCGAACAGTATTAGGGGGAACGCATCTTAAAAAAAATAAAATAAAATCAAACTGTTGAAAGGGTTCCACCTGCTGCAGGGTTCTCCTGCTCTCCTCGGTTGCTCCTCTGAGGCCCGGGTCCTGGCCGGTGCTCTGGGCTGCCTGCAGAGCTGCCTGCCTCTCCATCACCCGGCGGCTCTCCCTCTCCAGGAACTGCTTGGTCCTCTGGATGGAGGCGCCGTGGGAGGAGACGTACTCCCGGAACCTGGAGACAATCACATTTAGCCGCTGCGGAACTGAAACAATCTCCAAGTTTGTCTCTAATCTTCTTACTCGTCGATGCTGCTGTGGCTGTCAGGTACGGGGGAGAGGGGCGAGTCGTCCAGCTCCTCCACGTGTAGCGAGGAATCGATCCTGTCGTCGGGGGAAGCCGTTGCTTTCTCTGCTCTCTTTCTGTCATCTTTAGTTTTCTCCAGCTCACTGAGAGATCCAAACATAGATGTGATCTCAAACAGTGAACCTCTAAGATCTTCCTTTCATCTTTTCAAACAAGATGGAAGCAGCAGTTGTTGTAAAAACCATACCTGATTTTGTAGGCGAGAGTGTCGCATCTCTCCTGCAGCAGCGCCACCTTGCTCTCCAGCCGGCCCTTGTCCTCCCTGGCTCTGTCTCTCTCTTCTTTCATCCTCTGCCTCTGACTCTTGGCCTCATCCCTCTCCTCCCTGGCTCTGTGGGAGACTTCCCGGGCTTGTGTCACCTCCTCCCTCAGCCTCTGCAGCTCCTCCTTCAACTGATCTCTCTCCCGGACGATAACAGGCAAAGTCTGGGGAAAAAGTACGTAAAAAAAACGTTTGTCTTTTGCAGGGGTGAGCAATTCCACTTCCTGGGGGCCGGTATCCTGCAGCTTTTAGATCCTTCCTTGAAGGATCCTGAATCAAATGACTGAGTTACCTCCTAAATATGCAATACTTCCGCCAGAGTCATTGCAATCATCTAATTACTGGATTCAGGTATGTTGTGCCAAAAGCACATCTAAACGTTGCAGGATACCGGCTGTCAGGAAATGGAATATCCCACCCCTTGGTTAGAGAAAGGCTCACACCTTTATCTGCATGTCTAATCCTTCCTCCTCTTCTCCGAGCTTCTTCCTCCTCCTATGGAGATCTGCAGCCTGACAGGGAGAGGAAGGTCGGCACATGGAATAATGATTAGTTATAAAAATCCAGCTCTTCTCTGAAGGCCTCAGAGGTTCACCAAACACCAAGGAGAACAGCAGCCGG